CTCTAGTGAAAGTTAAACTGTTTCTTCTATCAGATTTTTCTTCTGTCTGATTCTTGCCTCATGCTTGCCTTAAAGTACTGAGGAAGCATTCGGTCATGATATCCTCTTAGCTGCTTGCTCAGAACTACTTGAAAAGTGGAAATGTTATTTTACCGACTCCTTCTCTCTTGGGCATTTTCACACCTGGAGAGTTTACATTTAGCAAGGAGGGCAGCTGCTAACATGAAATTTACCAGAACCCAGGCCAGCTCTGAGATGGAGGGCACAATCCCACAGTCTACTACAAACGGGTAGATTTTTTCTACTTGCAATGGGTAAATTGCAAAATTTTTTGCAACAGTAGTTAGGTGAATATTCAGAGGAGTCCCGGAGGTCAGTCCATCTTCTCATGGTTTAATGGTATGCAGACCTTAGTGGAAGGTGGTGTTTTACAGGCTGAAATGTCTGTGCTGCTCCATGGGCAATGCCTTAGGTTCCAATGATAAAAACAAAGCATAGAGCATTGTGCCTATAAAATACTCTACATATACAGAATAATTCATGTATATTTCAAGGAATTTGCTAGACTACCTAAGCCATGCTGCAGCCTTGTGGTAGCACTGACTTTGCTGTAGTCTGACCATTTTTAACAGAGAGGACTCCTCACACAGTGTATACAAATGTTGCATCTAGACACATTTCTTGATTTTACTTTGTGTTCTATTTTCTGATTATTTTTTTTTTTATAACCACTGTGAAAAGCCAATATCACAATATGAATTCACAACACCACCACATACACTTCTGGCAGATCACTATCCCTGAATACACGGATACCAGCAACCACAGCATTTTGTTCTCAGCTTTATCCTGTAAATCCACTATACCATTTGCTCTTGCCCCAGTGAAAATGCAAAACCCGCCCGTGTATAAAGACTGCTAAAAGGCCTCTCAATCTGCAAGCTATCCTTCTGCTAATGAAGAGATTAACATAGCTCTCAATGTCTAGAATTGTTCTTGAGTTTTGTAATTTGTAACCTCGGGTCCTCTCCATCTCATTGTGTTTTCAATACCTCCCCCTTCTTCTATGCAAAGAAAAAGCTTTCCATTTACTAAGAATACAAACTTTCCTGTTAGCTGCACAAAAGCGAGACTGTTCCATTAAGATGAAACTTAAACCTCTTTGTATAAATTAAGTTTTTGGTTTCTATTTTTTTCCCTAGAACCTATACAGAACAAGATGCTTTTGAAAGGAAGGATATATACAGTGTCAAGTTTGCAAGATAAGCTTAGGTGAACTCTGTGATGTGTTCTTCCTTCCTCCCCTGCCCCTTGCCCCAGACAAACTACCAGTTTAGCATCACACGAGGAACACAAAGGCTCATCAGATGATTTAGGTCTGCTCAGAAGCAGCTCTTTCTCTGTGTATTATATACAATTATGCAACAGTATATTAAAAGTACAGGTCAAGAAAGTAAATCCATGAAGCTAGACTGTGCAAGTCTACAAATGAAACCTAGGTATGTCCCCATACTGACCATCCATCTTCTGATTGAGCTGATTTTGTCCTGAAGTCCTCACTTTCTGCTTCTTCATTCTGAGGTCAAAGGTTTGTGGAGTAAAAACTCAACTGCTCATTTGCAGGTGGCTGCACAGTAAAGGCATCCATACAATGAGTGATGAGACACATTATCTAGTTGTAGGTGACTCAGTTAATACCATTTCCAACACACAAAATACTCCTAACTCATACCATTGGAAAACTACCTGTAAAGGCATATGCTCATGCTAAAAAGTAGCTATGTGTTTGGGTGAATCAGGTCTCTTCCAAATTAAGTCAGTGTTAGTGACTAAAATCAGTTGCATTAAGCTGTCAGAAGTGGTTTGGCAGGGAATTTTCCTGTTGTGAAGCTCCCACTGAGTGACAATGTATTAGTCAAGCTCAATGTATGCTTTCTTTCTGAACTAATCTTTTGCCTTAAAGCATTTGCCTTTAAAACTAGATTTATTTAAAAGCTGGATTTTACTCTCCTCCTTACAAAAGGAAATTTGGAAAAGTACACATGAACCAGTGTAGCAATGTGACAAGGGTTACACCAGTCCTCCTTCTGAATAGCAACTTTGAGAGCTATGAAGTATTTCATTCATCTTAATGATTATTTAATCTTGGAAGCTGACAGTAAGTTCTTTGCCTACAGCATATTGAAAACTGACAGAGAGAGGGCATAGTAATGAGAATTTAATAGCAAAATAAATAATACAGAAGCTACTTCACTGATTGCATTGTTATTATTATCCTGCTGAAGTCAATAGGAAAGCTGTGCTTCCAGCACCTGGGAGAGGAACAGGGCTTCCCCCTGCACTACTACTTCCTGAGCACTACAGGTTTGCAACAGGGAGCACGTGGCCTTGGACAAGCGACCAGCTGCGGCTGAGCCCGGCGTGGTGAGAAGATTGAAAAGGCACAGCCTGCACGCTTTCCCTCCACCAGTGCTCTCCTTACTGGCCATGAATGGAAAACAAATACCACTCCCAGATATTCTACAGCCCCAGTCTCAAGGGCATGACTTATCATTTCACTACGAATCATTGAAATAAAAATAACTGTGAATTGAATCATTATCTCTCTGTCTCAGAGGGCACTGCCAAGCCTCCAGTGCCCAGGAGACGAAGAAAGCCTCCTTTCATGGTATCTACCAACCTACCTTCCCTCTTGTTCTCAGCCTCCTAGAAGTGTGTGACAGTCAAAAACCACTTTGGCCTTCCAAGGCTCCTAACTTGCCTCTACCAATTACCAACCATCCAAGTTCTGTGGAGAGATCAGCACTAGTGACATTATCTGCAAGCTCCATGGCAAAGCGTTTTGCACATTAAATTGCTCAAGATCACTAAAGATGGTTTGTCGCAGTACACAGAGCTTCCCTGAGGCTAGTTGGGATTGACCTGCAGGACTGTTCTGTCCATACTTACCATAGCCCTTAACAAATATTACTAGAACCTGGCACTATTACTAGAGAATATATTCTAGACCTCAGTTGATGGAATACAAATCAGTATGATTCCCAGTACCAACCCCTGTAGGACTGACTGGTTTTGATTGCTTGCTGAGACCAATACAAAACAATGCACACTCATATGTTGTTATATGGCTTTTCAACAGCTACCACTCTTTCAAAGATGATATATGTTTTGCAACATATGTATTACCCTATGCATCTCCCTCATGTTTCCATTTATACTGAGTCTCATTTGTAGGTTTTGAACCAGAATTTGGTACTGGAAAAACTATTTTCCAGGACCACAATATTTTCATCACTTCTGTGGGGTCTTTAAATCCAGTCTTGAGGCTGCTGCAGAGTTTGACTTTCTGGCCCCTTTGTCTCCATAATCACCCTCATTTGTATGGATTTTCTCCTGACAATCTATGAGACAACTACAAGAACAGGCCACATTTATTCACATGGACACACTCCTCTTTAAAAGTCTTTCAGCCTTCAGAGTCTTGCAGAGAGTGACCCATCCCAATCTCCTCCAACCAGAAGGATGCTGGCATTTGTTGGCAAAATCCAGTGAGGATTAATCTGACCACCAAACTGCTGCACTAATGCTCTCTCTGCCTTATTCCATCTCTAACAGTTTAGTCTAGATTTCAAACTCTCCTTTGAAAGAAGGGTAAGTCTCAAATACTAACAACGTGTGTTAAATACATACACCAAGAATATAATGTACTGGGTACATGGCAAAAAATATGCCTGATCACATATGGTGTCTGAAAAGTTAAAAAACAGACATTAACACTTACAAAACAAGAGCTCAATTAGAATAAAGGTTTACCAAACTCAACTCTTTCTAACATAATATAAAATCTAGCAATGTTGTCTCTGACATACAAGTTAATTCTGTACTTCATTTTAGCACAGCAGCACAGTGCTCCTGACCTGCCAGCAGTGTGAATCCACCTGCCTCACAGCAACCCATCCCCGAAAAGGCTGTACAGAGTCAGACAGCCCATCTTCCATTCTCCAGCGTACTTTTAAAAGGCAAACCATTGGGGCCTGCTTAACATTCGTGTCTCCTGCGACAGCTGACAGTGTCGTGCATCTGCAGCCCTCCCTGTGCCACGGGTTTCTTCACAGCCGGACAGTCAAGGTGCCACCCAGAGAGATGCCCACGGCACACTTTAGAAAACTCCTATTTAACTCAGCCCATAATTGTAGCAAACAATGCTGGCACAGATTAAGCATACGGTTTGCAAACCTGCATGGAAAGACTTCCTCGGGACCGAGAAGCCGGATCACGACTGTGCTGAGGGGGCCGGACACTCCCGCTTGCCCCACTCGTTCCCGCGCCCACACCCTGCGGCGTTCCCGCGTCCCTTCCCGCCCTGCCAGCGGGAGCGACGCCTGGGAATTAGCCTGCAAACGGCAAAATAATCCCGTTTCCTCAAGAACATACACGTATATACGAGGGTGTGTGTGTGAATATATATGTGGGCATGTACACGGCTTGCCAACTTCGGGGGCTCGCAGGCGATGCTGGGGGCTGCACGGCTTTGGGGACACGCCGCGGCCCCGGTGCAGCACCCCAGAGCGGCGGTGGGTGGGAGAAGCAGCGCTCGGCGAGGGGAGGGGGCGGCGGGGCCGCGCCGGCCCCTCGGTCCGCGGCAGGAGGAGGAGATACCCCGAGCGGCAGCCCAATGGGAATAGTGGCGCTTCCCCTTCTCCCGTTTCCTCTCTCCACCCCCAGCCCCAGGCCGGGGAGGCGGGAGGCGGCAGCGCTGCAGCCCGGCCGCCGGCGGGGCACGGGGCCAGAGGCAGCCCCGCTCGGCCCCTTCTCCGCCTCCGCAGAAGCACCTGCGGGGGAGAAGGATGCCGGGAGGTGGCCGCCCCCCTCCGCGGGAGCGCGGGCTGGCTCCGGAGCCGCCCCAACGAGAAGGAGGAGGAGGAAGAGGAGAGGAAGAGAAAGGAGCAGGAGGGAAGTGGGGAAGTTGTGCCTTGCCCGCCCCGCCGAGAGCCGGAGCCATGGGCCCCGCCGGGGGGGCGCGGGCCGCCCCCTCGCTGCTGCTCTCGCTGCTGCTCGGAGCCTCGGCCCCGCTCTGGCTGCGGGCAGAGACGCTGGGTGAGTCCGGGGCCGGGCGGGGAGGCTCGGCAGGCGCGGCCCCGGGGGCTGCCCGCGCTGGGGGCGAGCGGAGGGGTGCTGCGGGCTACCCCCGCCGTCCTCCCCTCGCCGCTCTGCGGGAGCGTAGCCTGAGCTGCTCTCAGGGCTGTATATAGCTGACCTGGTTAATCCTCGCCGGGTTTATCCCTGTGTCTGAGTAGCTGCGAGATTAAAGTGGTAACCAGCCTTACGGTAAATGTATACTATGAGTTTCTTGATCTTTGTTAATTGGGACTTTTTTTTTATTTATTTATTTTCTTTTTTTTTTTTTTTTTTAATAATAAGTCAGATAAGCGGCGAAAAAGTCTCCGGCAAGTTGCGTGCAGGAGGCAGGGGAAGGCCACCTGGGCGCCCGCCTGTGGCCGCGCCTCGTCAGCCCCGGCGGGAGCCCCGGGCGCGGCGGGCGGCGCTCGGTCAGCGGCAGCACCGCGTCTGCTCCGGCCGGGGCTGGGGCTGGGGCCCGCAGCCGCTGTCCCACAGCCGCCTACAGGCTGCTCTGCTCTTCCACTGCCTCGGGGAGAAAGCGAAATGCCCATAACTCGTGCCGGGACAAAGTTTCGTAGGCATCTCCAGGAGATGTTACGAGCCTTTTTGTGATAGTGCTGTCTGTCGCAAATAGAGTGCGGGTACCATTCTCTTTACCCTGTGTTTTTAAGCTTCCTGTGTAAGTTACCAGTAGAGCTGACATCTCCGGCTGCGGAGTTGCAACCTCTTGGCTGTTGCATTGCATGGCCTGATGTATCCGTCTTAGAAGACTTCACTGGCAGCTACCGATAAAATAGCTAATACTGGAAACTAAGCATCATAATGAGCTTGTCAATGCATTCAGATAACTTAGAAGTCCTGTATTAGCGTTCCGACTTGGCTGCGAATTCCCGAACCCAGCGCTGTGAATTAGCTGTATACATGCATTGGCAGAAAGTACTTCGCCTGATTCTTCCCATAGCCTCCTATTAACAGAGATTTCTGATACGCATCTCCACAAAAGGGAGAAGTTGGTATGAGTCGTGTTGCCACTTGCCAGCTTCGTGGTCGCTTTGCAGTTCTGTCCTTGAAGTGCTGGGATACCAATTTGATACGTTCCAGGAAACATATGTAGCAAAGAGAAAACATTCCCTTAATCCCCTCTTTTCATCAGTGTTTTGAGGCTTTTTTTTTTTTGTTTATTTCCTCTTTCACCGATGCTTGTCCCTCACTCAATGGCACCAGGAAAGTCATTTGGGGAGCAAGTGAGTAATAGTAAGTCTGCTGGGATTTCAGGGGGTTTTGGTGTGTATAATGACACCGTAGAAAGTATGAATGTCCCTGCTTGTCCATATTCCCAAATTAATTGGTAAAAGCACTTTTTTTTTAATTCATGTTAAAAATATTTCTACTATCGAATCAACAGAATGGAAACACAAATACTCTTTTGCCTGGTTCTCTTTGGACCAAACTCAAAAGATAATCTGTCCAGTGTCTAGAAAGCAGAAAAGATGTTGATTCCCCCCTTCCACTTAATTTCTCCATAGGGGAAGTTCTTCTGTGTTTGCTTATTACTATTACCCTATAAATTAGGGCAGGCTAAGTGTTCTAAAGTCACACCAGTGGAGAAAGGAGATAAGGATAAGTGGATACAAACTTCCTGTTACACAAGCTTCTTGACTTGATTTAAAAGTTGTAATGGAGCAGGAGAAGTGCCAGAGTGAATCAGGCTTGAGTTTCAGATAATTCTGTATCTCGTCACCACTGGTGTTTCCCACCAGCTGGTTCAAAGAAAGATGCACTGGTTTAAGTATATTGATTTTAAAAAAATGAAGCATTACATTTTTCTGACTCCTCATGACCTGACTACAGAACATATAGCCTTTACCTTTGTGGTAGTTTAAACCACCACAACCTTCCTCTTAACTTTTTCTTGAGGGGTGCTACAGAACGAGGATGAAGCGGCTGTTATAGCTTCTGTTCTTTTACTTTAGTTTCAAATTAAGGAAAGAGCCTTTTTTTAAGTATGGTTCAGTTATTTCAGAGAATGGCTCATATTTGATTGTGGTTGTGTAGAGTCTGGGTGTCAACACTCTTTTTGTTCTTGAAAATATGTTAAATGTGTGTGTTGAGCGAGGAATCTACGAACATGGGATTTTGTTGTCCATAAAATGGTAATGAGAAAGGCTGAGTGTTAAGGGAAATTACTTTAATTAAAAAATATTTACAGGCTTAGTAGGTCTCACCTGGAACAAATGCTACATCTATGACTGTCCGTGAGTAATAAATAGGTTTGGGAGTTATAATAAAAGGTGGTTATTTTCTCTTTTTATTCTTCTGTACACTGATCTTCTCTTGGGGGTTCAGTTGCCAGTTCTTTGCTGACAACTGCAAAACATATCTTGTTCCCTGTCTGCCAACCTCACACAGCCATCCCATATCCTGGTATCTCTTCTAAAAATCTCTTGCAGCAGTTAGAATCCAAGGCAGAAAGGCATTATCTTTGCCTTTCACCATTCCCTGTTTTTTCTTCAGGTGTTGTTGAGCAAGACCTTGAACCATGTAATTGTGGGCAGCAGAAATCAGAGTTGAATCTGAGTCTTTCAGAGTTTCGACTCATTTTCTATTGCATTTCCGTACAGTAGGACTTAAAACTGATCCGAAGGTTGTTTGTTTGTAGGAAGGCATAAGAGGAATGGGGATTTTAATCTATTAAGTACAAGATTTAAGCCACTGCTCTTGCTGTACCTGGTTTATTTTCACTTCAAATAAAACACAGCTATGAAAGTAGTTCATGTGGGATTTGCAGATCAGCATCCAGGAGTGAGCTGTGCTTGCTGTGTTCCTGGATCTGTTGGCAGTTGCACCCAATGCCCAGTTGGAAGAATCGATGGGGAGCAGACTTTTATACGTTTTGAGGAAAGGCTGTTATTCAGTGTGACAACAGTGTATCCAGTAATTACCAGAGATTATGCCTGTTCTCAGGGGCTTGAACAAAACCCTTGCTGAAGAACACTGGTGTGATCATGGTAATCCACTTTGTATGCCCATTTCCAGCAGTTTGAAATGCAGATTGAGATGAGTCTTTCTTCTACCCAAACCCCCCACCCCGCACTTCAATTTCTGAATATAAGTGATTGGTAAATTTTCAGTTTGTTTGCTTTTTGTCCTTATGTCTGTTTCCTTCCTTGGCTCCTTCTCTCTTGCCTTGGGAATGCTGACTAGAATTGCTAAAGAGGGAGGCAACAGTTTTCCAGTTGCAGTTCATAAGCAATGCGCGTATCCACCACAAGAAAACTGCAATGTTTTCAGTCACACAGACTTTGCTATAAATAGCTCTAAGCTCTTCGTAAGTACTTCTCTTTAGGTTATCAGGGGATGTATTTCAAACAAATTCAAAGACAGGGAGGGCAGCAGGAGTCTCTCTGACAATTCAGGGAGAAAAAGATGCTTTGGGAAAGTTGTTACCTTCGTGGCTGTTGAATCATATTTCATGAAAATTAGTTGTTCATTTGCATATGCAAAAATATATTAATTTATATTTATCAAAACTGTGTCACCTTTAGTCCATCTTAGTTACGTGAGTAGCGCAGTAAAAATTACTTTGGAAAAAAATACCAATTTTGAAGACAGTCATGCTCCTGTGTAGGGATGCCTAAGGAACCTTTTCAAAAGTGTCTTAGGTACCAGGACTAGTATAGTTTTGAAAGCCCATCTGAGCTCTCACACTGCTGAGAAGTGTGGTCCTGTGTGGTGGCAGGCACTGAAGTCCTCAGTATAGGCATCACTGTAGTTTGGGGCTGGCTGTATCAGATCAGATGCTCTCCTGTGGCATGTACTCATCAACATATGGGTTTGCACCATCTGCTAAGAATAAAACAAGCCAGACAAAATCAAAATAAAATCCTTCTGACTGGATTCAGCGGAATGGTGTTGGATCCCAACTAACTGCAATAAAAAATATTAATAGCAATGCATAAGAATGAGCACACCACTTCCCCAAAAGGTTTAATTAGTGTTACAACTGGGAGTGGGAAACTTCAAACTGGGACAAGCTAATAGTGATGCTTAAATAAAAAAAGGATAGTGGTTTGACTAGTTTTAAGAGTATACAGATAGCTTCATTTTTGCTTTCAAAAGAAATTACAAACTATCTAATTAAACTGATTTTTGTCTGTGAAAATTGTGTGAGTGCTAAAGCCACATTTTTGAGGTTGGCTGTATGCTTGTACATAGAAAGAGGCTGCCCGTAGTTATGGTTAGGATTGTTGATCCTGTATAATTAGGCCTGGGAGCTGAGTGTTTTGAGGAGAGGAAGCATTTTGGTCTTTCGTTGCGTCTCTCCCTAATTTTGACAGAGCCAGAACTTGCCTCTCAGGAGTTTCCTTCCAAGACAAGAAGGCTTAGTTTTGAGGTGCTGGTACTTTCTCATCCTCTTTGAGCAAGATTTCCAGTTCCAGTGTGTCTGTATTAGTTATTTCCATTTCCCTGATGGGATGGGATTGCTGTGTGACGGCAGCTCCATTCTTCTCCCCCACCTAGGCATGGAGAAGGATGAGTGCACCCATGTTGTGCAGTATTTGCCCATCTCCAAAGAGCAAAGAGAAGGTGTTTTTGAGCCAACCGTGATGAATTGAAGGAGAATAAATGGGGAAAGCAGAGCAGGGCAAGGATAGAAACCCAGTTCCCAGGCCTCCTACAGGACCAGTGTGGAGGCCCAGCAGCCTGCTACCAAAATGCCTCAACCCTGGAGGGGCAGAGGCAAAAGGGGAGAGACTCCCCTCTAGAACAGAGTAAGAAAAGGCCTCCATCCCATGGGCCTTTTGCAGCCACATGTTGGTGCCTTTTGGGTTCTGGTGTTCTAATAGTGTGTGGGGATTGATGTCATCCTTGTTCAGCCCCCTTTTACCATTCATGTACCCTTCCTAGAATGTCCTTCCTTCCCTTAACCTCCATTGGCTCTGTTTTGCCGCATTGTTCCACCCCCGTTATCCCCT